TTTTCAGCCCAACTGTATACTGTTTTTCTCAGACGCGGAGGGATACTGACTTGTTGTGAAAAGTAACTTACAATTCTACCCGTGGTATACGCTCAGTATATCACGGCTAAGAACCAATCAGATTGCTTGATTTGACTTGTCCGTTTTATAAACTGCAGTACACTGTGTACTATAACAGCTAAAGGCAAATCATGGCATGGAAGCAGAGTCAAGTGTGCGTAGTCTTTAGGAATATCAACTGATGCAAAAACACAATCTCAACTTTTATTTATTCTTATTGTAAATGTTAACATTAGTCATGCTATTACATTTAAAAAAACATGCATTCTTTAACAAATAACGTTCTCAATAACTTAACATAATCACTAGATTTTAAAGAAACAAAAAATGCTATTAATTGACATAAATATTTGTAAATAAAATAGCAATTTATTTCTCAAAAATGTGCACAGTGTGACCCAGCTATCTTACTGTGTGTGTGTGTGTGTGTGTGTGTGTGTGTGTGTGTGTGTGTGTGTGTGTGTGTGTGTGTGTGTGTGTGTGTGTGTGTGTGTGTGTGTGTGTGTGTGTGTGTGTGTGTGTGTGTGTCGCTGCTTTTTGCTTCCTATAATCTGCTCAGAGTGTTTCTTTCCCTTCTCTTTGTCTCTGCTTCACTTCCTGGTTTTTCTCCTGTATGTGCACACTCAGCACTGAGGGATGAAAACAGGGAGTGAAGAGGAAGAGGAAGAGGAGGAGGAGGAAAAGGAGAAGGAGAAGAAGGAGGAGTTTTTAGTTCCCTCTCTGCTTGTAAACAGCTTCATATTACGGAGCATCTCTCCTGTTTCTTACTCCATGTTCCCTCTGAACATGCACTCATGCTTCCCCACCAGAGACTGGATTTATGACTGTATAAGATCCACGCCCTCATGCAGCAGGAAGCTCCGCCCCTTGTTCTTTCTCCTGCAGGAAGCTCCGCCCCTTGTTCTTTCTCCTGAAGATCAGCAGGAGAGGACTCTTTAAAGTAGAGACACTACATACTGATATGAACCTGAACATCAGCAGGAGAGGACTCTTTAAAGTAGAGACACTACATACTGATATACAGCTGAACATCAGCAGGAGAGGACTCTTTAAAGTAGAGACACTACATACTGATATACACCTGAACATCAGCAGGAGAGGACTCTTTAAAGTAGAGACACTACATACTGATATACACCTGAACATCAGCAGGAGAGGACTCTTTAAAGTAGAGACACTACATACTGATATACACCTGAACATCAGCAGGAGAGGACTCTTTAAAGTAGAGACACTACATACTGATATACACCTGAACATCAGCAGGAGAGGACTCTTTAAAGTAGAGACCCTACATACTGATATACACCTGAACATCAGCAGGAGAGGACTCTTTAAAGTAGAGACACTACATACTGATATACACCTGAACATCAGCAGGAGAGGACTCTTTAAAGTAGAGACACTACATACTGATATACACCTGAACATCAGCAGGAGAGGACTCTTTAAAGTAGAGACACTACATACTGATATACACCTGAACATCAGCAGGAGAGGACTCTTTAAAGTAGAGACACTACATACTGATATACACCTGAACATCAGCAGGAGAGGACTCTTTAAAGTAGAGACACTACATACTGATATACACCTGAACATCAGCAGGAGAGGACTCTTTAAAGTAGAGACACTACATACTGATATACACCTGAACATCAGCAGGAGAGGACTCTTTAAAGTAGAGACACTACATACTGATATACACCTGCACATCAGCAGGAGAGGACTCTTTAAAGTAGAGACACTACATACTGATATACACCTGAACATCAGCAGGAGAGGACTCTTTAAAGTAGAGACACTACATACTGATATACACCTGATCATCAGCAGAATATGTCCTTTTTAAGTTTATTTTGATATTAATTTACCATTTATTTTCTAATTATTGCCTGCACATTTTTTGCATTTATTAACTATAAAAATAATAGTAATAATAATACAAATACTTGTAATATAATAATAAAACATGTGCTTTCCACGGGTTACATTTTCTTCCAGTACATTTTTATGTTATTACTTTTTCTTTCTTTTCACTAAACTCAAGACTGCAGAGTAGTTTGACTCTGGAGCGTGACTCCTTCTACTCTAGTTATTGAAACAGCTCTCTCTCTCTCTCTCTCTCTGTGTGTGTGTGTGTGTGTGTGTGTGTGTGTGTGTGTGTGTGTGATGGAGGTATGTCAGCTGCTGTTTGCTAATCTCTCGCCCACTTGGCTGCTCTTTATGATTATTTATGATGATGATGATGGAGTCGTGTGTTTCAGGGTGAAGCCGGTCAGAACCGGTTCTCAGGTCCTCTGGTCGGCTGTAGTTTCCCTCTTCCTCATTTCATTTCTCTCAAACGGCTTCCTCTCCCCCCTCCTCTGCTTCACATCAGCATGTTTCTCCTCTTTGTCACCTCGTCCACTCACTTTTCCAACACTCAGCACACGCTCTTATCCACAGTGACGCCAGCAAGCACAGGATGGACAGGACGTTTGCAGAAGCAGGGGAAACTTTTACTGAGAAAGTGTCTGGTGGGAAGTTTAGTTAAAAGTACAACAGGACACATTAGGGTCATCCTTACATGATGCCAGACTTATTTAAGAAGGAGAAGAAGAAACCCTCTGTAATGGTCACACATGCAGAGCACACAGCGTCCTCTGCTTTTAACCCATCGTAGTACCAGGAGTCTAGTACTAGGGGGCAGCTTTGTACAGCAATGGGAGTGGGGGGGGAAGGGAGATGTCCGGTGCCTTGCTCAAGGGCACCACGGCAGGGCAGGAGGTGAACTGGGACCTCTCCAAGTAGCAGTCCACTCCATTTTTAGGTCTGGTCGGGGACTTGAACCGGCGACCCTACAGCTCCCAGTCCAAGCCCCTACTGACTGAGCCACTGCCGGACTTAAATGATCTAACTCAGCTCAACTCATTAATATATTTATTAGTAATACAGAGCTGCAAATATTTAAATATTCACATGTTCACAGACCCATACAACACTTATAGTTATATAAATATTGCTATTTTATTTTGTTTAATCTTTTATTGTACATTTCTATTTAAGTTCTTATGGTTATGTTAGTATTTGTATTTAATTCTTGACATGCCATTGCAGATTTTTACTTGAATTTCATGTTTTAATACATATTTGTAATTTTTATCTTTTATTGCAGATTTGTTTTACTTTAACTTATTAGGTTTAAATAAATATTCTTTTTTTAATTTGATATTTTTTTAACTTTAAATTCAATTTTCTTATTATATTATATTTAATACATTTGAAAGTTGTAGTCACATTTTAATTTAAAAAGGAGTTTCATTTATATTTGATTGGACACATTTACTTTAACTTACTGCATTTAAATATATATTTTTGTAATCTTTCATTAAAGATTTGTACTCTTTTCTTATGATATATAAATACTGTCATAAATCCTGTTTCCCCCTCAGACACAGAAAGTATTCTGATTCTGAAATAAAAAGGGATTCTTCAATTTGACAAAAGTGGAAAGTCGTTTTTTGATCAAGAAATAAAGGAAAATGTGTTATTTTTGGTAATAATTTGCCCTTAAACTCATTTTGTAGTGAGTTGTGTTTCCCTTAATTCCTATTTGATATAGTTTGTTGTTTTTTAAACGCCTATTTACTTAAACTGAACAAGACTTTTCTCGGTTTAAAAAACAAAAGCCTTCGTTCACTGTTAATGTATTCAAGAAAAACAACATGTTCTGTAAGATAGGGACCTCTAATTGATTTAGTAAAAAGCTAATTGATAGTATTTTGGTGTTGTTTTAACCGTGGAGGCATGCAAAACAATAAGAAATCGTCTTCAAGTATTCAAGAGTAACAGACGTAATAAAAATGGACATTTTGTTGATCCACCTAGTCCTCCTGAGGGTTAATATGTGCTTCTGTATTAAACTCTGAGTTACCTGGAAACAGTTCAAACAAACTCCTTCATGCATAAATCCACTTATTGATGCACACACACCCCCAAAATAAACTCTCTGACCGCACCTGCCTGATCTCTTATCCCCAGGTGAGCGCTCCGAGGCTTAAAATAAACCTTTAGTCTCTCTCCAAACAGTGTGTGTGTGTGTGTGTGTGTGTGTGTGTGTGTGTGTGTGTGTGTGTGTGTGTGTGTGTGTGTGTGTGTGTGTGTGTGTGTGTGTGTGTGTGTGTGTGTGTGTGTGTGTGTGTGTGTGTGTGTGTGTGTGTGTGTGTGTGTGTGTGTGTGTGTGTGTGTGTGTGTGTGTGTGTGTGTGTGTGTGTGTGTGTGTACCCTGAACACACGGCTAACAAAAGAGCCATTCAGTGGAGAGGCAATAACAAAGATGGAGGCTGCATGTTCTGTTATTTAAACGGCTGTCAGTCGTCCCCTCGGAGATACACTTATTTATAATGAAGCTAGTTAGTGAAGTGTGTTAAATGAGGTAGAAAAGGCCAGGTTAGGGGATAGGATTAATGTTTGAAATGTCCGACATGTGCGATAAACATTCAGGTTACCCCCCCAAAACAATAGTGACAATAAGGACACTTTTTTAACTTTGTGTAATGTCACGCATTCTGGTCTATAATTCAATGGGAACATGTATGCATTGGAAGTAACCCATTAATCCCCACTTCTTCTTCTTCTTTCGTCATCATTAGACCAAACCGGTTTGTGTGACATGTTTTTGGGGAATAGTATTATTGCAGCTGACTGTGACTCAGACTCAGAGAATCTCCCCGTGTAACACAATCTCATGAGAGCTAGACGTGGTTTGGCTTCTGTTTAGTTTTCACCTCCAATGACCCATTTCCCAGAATGACAAAAAAGTGTTTCCTCTTTTATTAATTCATATAAATACATTAATGACAGAGCAGCTTGTTAGAAAGCTTGAGCGTTTTATTCTTGCACAGATGAAAAAAAAAGATTCTCTTTTAAATATATAAGGTTGTGCTAAAAGCATTTTCTCCTTCCAAACTCCTTCAGTCTGCTCTCATGAGAGGCAGCCACAGTTTAATTCACTTGTCGCTTCATTCCTCAGCGTTACAGCGATAGGAAAGATTATTAAATCAGAACCATCAGAACATAAGTGACACTGATGGCGTGAAGACAGATGTATTTAAAAGCATGCACACAAACACAGAAGGTTTAAGGTGGACTGTATGCCTCTGTGAGGGTCAGACTCCTTCAGGATCTCTTGACACAGACGGACGGCAACTTCAAGCTACAATGCATGTTATCCCAGCACTTCTCCGCTGCGAAAAAATACAAAAGATATTTGTTTTTATATTTCTCTGGTACTCAAATCTAAAATTGACATAACTTATTGTAAGCGTAATGCTATATTACCTGAGAAATTTATCTGTATGCATCTCTGCACGCCTCTCTGATTGGGCTCTCCATCACACCAGTCTGTGTAGCTGAAAGGAGTCCCATCAGACCAGGTCCAGACGTTCACCTGCAAGAAACAATAGTACATTTATTTATCAGGAAAACTGTAAAATTAGACGGAAGAAACTGGAATATACTCAAAATACCAAAACTAAACTTACTCATATGCAGAATCACCTTTTTGTATAAAACGATATATTATATCTTAATTAACTGCTGTTTTCTAATGTATTTCATGATTTCTTAAACTTAAAATGTATATCATGAGATACATTGCACTTTTTAAAGTGTTATTAAACCTATATCACACCTATATTACACTGTTATGAGACCCATATTAAACTAATATTATACCATATAATGCCCATGTTACACCCACATTACACCGTTACTTAACCCAAATTACACCAATATAACACCTATATTACACCCATGTTACAGTCATGTTAGAATCCAATGTTGTCAAATAAATGTAGTGATACTAGGAGAACTATTAAGTAGCATCAAATAAAGAACAAGTACCTCAAATTGCACTTTACAACAGAACTTGAGTAAATGTACTCAGTTACTTTCACAACTGTAAAGTACCGTATGTAGTTCAGAGCCTCCGACCCACGCTAGCTTCATCCGATGAGTTGCGGTCATGGTCATCTTCTCAATCTCAAGTAACTCCATCGTGTTGCTTACGGACGCCAGGTGTCCCCCCATGGAGTAGCAGTTTCTCTGCAAGACAAATTAGAAGAATATTAAACAAAAAATAAATCCTGCATTCCACATTTTGCTCAAGTAAAAGTACATGTACAAAAAGTAAAATGACTCATTGTACAGAATGGCCCATTTCAGAATAACGTATTCTTAATGCATTTATTTCTTTGTTGCAGCTACTGCTTAAAATAAATAGACCTACTATCAATCAATCAAAGTTTATATTGCCCAATATCACAAATGTTACATTTGTCTCAGGGGACAGTTTGTACAGGTTATCAAACTATCAAAACAAATGCATTTGTAGTCCTGAGTCAAGGACCAGCATTACCTCAGCTCTAGCCCATCTCATGGGTGTGGGGTTGAAGTAGAAACAGCGTCCGTTGATCGAGGTCCATCCACCGGGGCAGTAAACAGAGCGCTTCACCACATGACTCTTAGTCTCTTAATGTAAAACTTTTATTAGACTCTCGTTTTATCTGATGGCATATAGACATAAACCCTTTGTTGTAATTTATTACACGGCTTGGTTAAATACTAGATTCTGATTGGTCAATTTGGACATTTCAGAGGTTGTTAATACTCAATAACACAGTGCTGCTATGCAAAATGATGACCGTTGCTAAGGAGGATCGCGATCGATGACCGCTTCGTTGCACATTATCCCTTACTTATTACAAGGCTTAGTTGAATACTGAATTCTGGTCAGTTTGGACATTCTGTGGTCTTTTATTTCTATATAGCGGACCGTTGCTAAGTATACAATACCGTTGCCAAGGTATAGAAGACTGTTGCTAAGGTATAGAAGACTGTTGCTAAGATATAAAAGACTGTTGCTAAGGTATAGAAGACTGTTGCTAAGGTATAGAAGACTGTTGCTAAGGTATAGAATAGTGTTTCTAAGTTATAAAAGACTGTTGCTAAGGTATAGAAGACTGTTGCTAAGGTATAGAAGACTGTTGCTAAGGTATAGAATAGTGTTTCTAAGTTATAAAAGACTGTTGCTAAGGTATAGAAGACTGTTGCTAAGGTATAAAAGACTGTTGCTATGGTATAGAAGACTTTGGTTGGTTTTCTGTTACTCAATCAGTATTAATATATTTCGTTTTTACATATTTAGATCTTATGTATTAAGTTTTATATTGAGTTTTATATGTTTATATATATATATATATAATAATGTTTTTCAAAAATGTAGTTCTACATTTTTATTTTTTATATTCAATTTCTTTTACATTTCGAGAGCACACATCTTTGAATTCATGCTGGCTGAACTGTCCCCAGTAAATAACAGTATTCATATATTATGATTTAATGTATTTATTTTTCGTACATTTATTTTGTATTTTCATATATATTTAGTTATAGTTTTAAAATAGTAAGTTCTAGTGTTTATGTACAATCTAAAATCAACTCACCTGCTTGGTCTTTTTCAGCTGCTGCCTCTGAAACGGCCAACAAGTTTAACACTGCAGTTATTGACTTATTGTTTTACTGACAATAAACACATCTGTTAAAGGTTTTAGATATGTTATAATACTCACCAGCAGCTCTAACCAAGGCCATCATGGCACAAACCAGAGCGAACACAGCGAGCGTCTTCATGATGAGGATCCTTTAAAACACAAATACAGATTACAGGTAACAATGTGGGGAATAAAACAGTGAGGAGATGATGAGAGAGTTTGTAGAAACCTGAAGTCCAGCCGTCCTGTGGTGCAGAGCAGGAGGAACACCAGCTCTTAAATACTCAAACTTATCTGATCATCTGTAAAGAAACAAGGAACTTAGAAAAGATGCGGCCCTGCCCTCTTGCAAAACACAAGTTACCCTAATCTTAACGCCTTTTTAGGAAATCTGCAAATGTTAATAGAAATGTATGTTCCTCATCTAGTGTCTCTGTAGTCATTTAGTTTTTGTAATTGTGATCATGGTTTAGTCTCTCCATGGTGTCTCTTTGAGGGACATTTTGTAGGTGAAGGCCTGACACTTCTGTAAGTGATGCATTACATTTCAAATCGAAGCATAACAACTGCAAAGGGACACAAATCGATCACAATACACTTGGACAAATGCAAAACAACTACAGAGACAATTTTTTTTTTACAAAAAGCCAAACATAATTGGGCAAAATAAAGATAAGAAACTATAAAACAAATTCACTATCTCTTACTACAGTATGGTATGACCTGCTTGAAGTGAATATATCTGCACTTTCCTTGTTGTTCAAAGTTTGATTCTCTATGCTTTTTGCACTTAGTGTAAGTCGCTTTGGATAAAAGCGTCAGCAAATTAAATATAATGTAATGTAATAAAAAGACAAAAGCAATTTCAGAGAGACCCAAACAACTTCAAAGATATGCTACATTTACAACATGACTATACAAGTTAAAGAAGGGCTTCAGAGGTGATTTAGCAAAATGCAAAAACCTTCTTCAGTGACACTCAACATTTCCGTGTTCACTATGCAGGAAACTAGACTAAAAATAACACGTTCTTTTTGTAGAAAGCCACAACATGCCTATGAGACTTTATGGCCATACAAAATGACCATACAAGGTAAAGAAGGCCTTCAATGGTGATTTTGCAAAATGCTAAACATTCTTCGGTGACACAGCAAAATGCATGCAGCAGACATAGAGAGACATATAGTTATATATATATTTGATGCGTGTATATTTTACAGAAACATTACTTTATTTCATATCAAAAATGGCATTATGGACTTATTATTATACGAGTTAGGATTGGGCGAAATGGGAAATAATCGAAAAGACAAGTAATTATGCAAAATCTAACATGATATCTTCTTGTATCAGAATTTAAAGTTAAAATCGTTCATACAGTCACTTTGATTGGTTGCACACTACAGACTTTTCAGTTACTTCTAAAGCTCTTAGTTGCAAGTTTAAATGTTGATTAACCCAAAGTGTTATGTTAGAAATGCATAGTAGGCCTACAGGTCCCCATTACATAGAAGTATTTGCACAATTAACACAAGTTGTTTTAATTAGTATTATAGTCTGCAGACAAAAGTTTAAAAATGGCTTGTAAGATTTTACAATTTTGGATTCGGACAGATTGCTTATTTATTTGAAGAAAATAATTCACAGTAGATGTAATAATTTTCCTCTTGTGTTCTCTATAACCAAAGGTCGCAGCACTATACTCATGGTAGTCAAACAGCCCAGAGAGTACAGATATGGCCGCTTTCATGTTAAAACTGCAATTTCTTATCATTGCCCAACATATGTGAGTTAGCATCCAGCAGTTTCTGACGAGACAAGAAGTATGCTCCATTTAAGTGGTGCCTATAATGGTGCTACTTTCACTACCACTAAGCTAAAGGTGGCTAATGTTGGGCTATAAAGGAACTACAGCACTCTCCCATGACTTCACGTCACCACCGCTAAGCTAAAGGTGGCTAATGTTGGGCTATAGAGGAACTACAGCACGGTCACATGACTTCACGTCACCACCGCTAAGCTAAAGGCAGCTAATGTTGGGCTATAGAGGAACTACAGCACGTCACATGACTTCACGTCACCACCGCTAAGCTAAAGGCGGCTAATGTTGGGCTATAAAGGAACTACAGCACGTCACATGACTTCACGTCACCACCGCTAAGCTAAAGGTGGCTAATGTTGGGCTATAACGGAACTACAGCACGTCACATGACTTCACGTCACCACCGCTAAGCTAAAGGTGGCTAATGTTGGGCTATAAAGGAACTACAGCACGGTCACATGACTTCACGCTACCACCGCTAAGCTAAAGGCAGCTAATGTTGGGCTATAAAGGAACTACAGCACGGTCACATGACTTCACGTCACCACCGCTAAGCTAAAGGTGGCTAATGTTGGACTATTAAGGAACTACAGCACGGTCACATGACTTCACGTCACCACCGCTAAGCTAAAGGTGGCTAATGTTGGGCTATAAAGGAACTACAGCACGGTCACATGACTTCACGCCACCACCGCTAAGCTAAAGGTGGCTAATGTTGGGCTATAAAGGAACTACAGCACGGTCACATGACTTCACGTCACCACCGCTAAGCTAAAGGTGGCTAATGTTGGGCTATAGAGGAACTACAGCACGGTCACATGACTTCACGTCACCACTGCTAAGCTAAAGGCGGCTAATGTTGGGCTATAACGGAACTACAGCAGAGAACCTCCCGGTGTAATGCAATCTCATGAGAGCTAGACGTGGTTTTGACTCCTGTTCAGACATGCTGCCGATCACTCAGCTGTTTGATGATTTTCGCTCTGAAATATGATTTAGTTTTCACCTCCAATGACCCATTTCCCAGAACGACAAAAAAAGTATTTTTATAAGTAATAATACTAAGTGTTTCCTCATATTAATTCATATAAATACATTAATAACAGAGCAGCTTGTTAGAATGCTTGAGCGTTTTATTCTTGCACAGATGAAAAAAAGAGTCTCTATTAAATATATAAGGTTGTGCTAAAAGCATTTTCTCCTTCCAAACTCCTTCAGTCTGCTCTCATGAGAGGCAGCCACTGTTTAATTCACTTGTCGCTTCATTCCTCAGCGTTACAGCGATAGGAAAGATGATTAAATCAGAACCATCAGAACATAAGTGACACTGATGGTGTGAAGACAGATGTATTTAAAAGCATGCACACAAACACACAAGGTTTAAGGTGGACTGTATGCCTCTGTGAGGGTCAGACTCCTTCAGGATCGCTTGACACAGACGGACTGCATCTTCACGCTACACTGCCGGTTATCCCAGCATTTCTCCGCTGCGAAAAAAACAAAAAATACAAAAAATGTTTGTTTTTATATTTCTCTGGTACTCAAATCTAAAATCGACATAACTTATTGTAAGCGTAATGCTATATTACCTGAGAAATTCATCAGTAAGCATCTCTGCACGCCTCTGTTATTGGGCTCTCCATCACACCAGTCTGTGTAGTGGAAAGGAGTCCCATCAGACCAGGTCCAGACGTTCACCTGCAAGAAAAAAATAGTACATTTATTTATCAGGAAAACTGTGAAATTAGACGGAAGAAAACGATATATTATATCTGAATTAACTGCTGTTTTTTTGTATTTCATGATTTCTTAAACTTAAAATGTATATCATGAGATACATTGCACTTTTTAGAGTGTTATTAAACCTATATCACACCTATATTACGCTGTTATGAGACCCATATTAAACTAATATTATACCATATAATACCCATGTTACACCCACATTACACCGTTACTTAACCCAAATTACACCAATATAACACCTATATTACACCCATGTTACAGTCATGTTAGAATAATTTGACTGTATACCAATGTTATCAAATAAATGTAGTGGTACTAAATATAGTGGAGGAGAACTATTAAGTAGCATAAAATAAAGAACAAGTACCTCAAATTGCACTTTACAACAGAACTTGAGTAAATGTACTTAGTTACTTTCACAACTGTAAAGTACCTCATGTACATCAGAGCCTCCGATCCACGCTTCCTTCGACTGATAAGTGGCGGTCATGATCATCTTCTGGATCTCATGGTACTCCATCATGTTGCCCATGGACGCCAGGTGTCCCCTCATTGAGTGGCAGTTTCTCTGCAAGACAAATTAGAAGAATTTTAAAGAAAAAATAAATCCTGCATTCCACATTTTGCTCAAGTAAAAGTAGAAAAAGTAAAATGACTCATTGCACAGAATGGCCAATTTCAGAATAACGTATTCTTAATGCATTTATGTGTTTGTTGCAGCTACTGCTTAAAATACATAGACCTACTATCAATCAATCAAAGTTTATATTGCCCAATATCACAAATGTTACATTTGTCTCAGGGGACAATTTGTACAGGTTATCAAACTCTCAAAACAAATGAATTTGTAGTCCTGAGTCATTACCTCGGCTTTAGCCCAAGTCATGGGCCTGGGGTTGAAGTAGAAACAGCGTCCGTTGATCGAGGTCCATCCACCGGGGCAGACAACAGAGCGCTTCACCACATGACTCTTAACTGAGAACAAAAGTTAGAGTCTCTTAATGTAAAACTTTTATTAGACTCTCGTTTTATCTGATGGCATATAGACATAAACCCTTTGTTGTAATTGATTACACGGCTTGGTTAAATACTAGATTCTGATTGGTCAATTTGGACATTTCAGAGGTTGTTAATACTCAAGAACACAGTGCTGTATGCAAAATAATGACCGTTGCTAAGGAGGATCACGATCAATGACCGCTTCGTTGCACATTATCCCTTACTTATTACAAGGCTTAGTTGAATACTGAATTCTGATTGGTCAGTTTGGACATTCTGTGGTCTTTTATTTCTATATAGCGGACCGTTGCTAAGTATACAATACCGTTGCTAAGGTATGGCAGACTGTTGCTAAGGTATGGCAGACTGTTGCTAAGGTATAGAAGACTTTTGCTAAGGTATAGCAGACTTTTGCTAAGGTATGATCAGCGCTGCTGGAAGTTTAACTCATTCCGAAATAAAATTATTCTAAACAACACATCATGTAAAATAAAATAAGTTAGAATAGCATAATGTCTAAATTATATATAATATATAAGTTAATATAAAACAAAAAGAACACAATTTAAAACATAATTAAAATACATAGCATAATGAAACATGCAATAGTTATAATGAATAATAATAATAATAATAATAATATCATAACGACAAAGTGAAAATCAAATAGCAACTCACCTGCTAGGTCTTTTTCATCTGCTTCCTCTGAAATGGCTAGAAAGTTTAACACT